AAGTGTGATTTTGCTCCGTTCTTTAAGTTCGTTGGTATCCTGCAGTTTGTATTGCCACTGTTGCAGGAAGGTTTATTCCGTTTTATCCTGGGAGGATTTAATCCATTACCTTGGCAACGTGTGAGGGGGATAAAATTCCTTAAGGACACACAAGCAAATTGTGGACTCGGAATATTTCTTAAACTCTACTATTTTTCCAGATTTCTTTAATTCTTCTAACAGTTTTGTTTTCCTGATTTTGTTAACACAGTAATGCTCACACTTGTTAATCAATTTTAAAATTATTTTTGTAACTTTCGCTTGGCCTTAAGAGAGTGTGCACACTCTCTATCCCACGTCAGCACTTAGGGTGGTGTTTATTACAATTTTAAAAAGTTCAGGAGGGTAATAGGTCCCCCGAAAAGAAAAGGTGTGTAGTTGGTAATATGGTCATAGGTTCGGGAGGATTTATGCATTATTCCAAATTTATTATTAAGCAAAGTTATATTTTTTTTTTACAATTTAAAATTTATCCCAGCCATTTAGGCATCTTAATTAGGCCAAAACGTTTTCTGGCGGACCCCACCCATACTTTAAAAAAATATTATCTCCGCCAAAACGTGATTATTAGCATCATAAACAAGAGAGTTAATACCTTAAAACTCGCCTAAACTATACAACATGTGTTAGTTACCTGCCTAAACTATCACCTGTTCCCGAAAACCCTCTAAACTATATCCCCCTTCGTAATAAAACCCCCCGTCGCATTCTTACACTCTCTAATTATTTTTAACTTCTTCCACGTGGCAATTTACGTGAATATTTGTTTATCTTAATCTGAAAACAGACTTAATTAAGATTTTAATACTCTTTATTATATCATTATAAAAAATTATATGGTAAAAATAAAAATGGGGAATAGGGTTAAAACTAGTGGGTCATTTGGAAAAAACTCATTTTCTCTTCGCTCTCATCGGAGACTTGCTATCATCGGAGAATGGCTACACTAATCTCTCAGTAGCTATTTTCTTCACTAATCTTGGTTCTAACCTCGGTTGCATCACCTATTCTTGCTTTCATTCGAAAATTGGGATAAAAACTAGGGTTTCTGCTCCTAAATCGGTATAGAAGATTAGGGTTATGATAGACCTAAATTCTGAATATTGTTGAAAGGAGATACCTAAATTGTTAAAGAAGATAGCTACACACAGGTCCAATTTCTTTATTCCCTAATTTTTTGAAAGGCATTAAACCTCATGCTCTACAAATACTTGAAAGGGTGTTCCTTCTTTCAAATAAATTTAGGTAAGAAATGAAGGATGGATAAAACGAGAAAGATAAAAAATAAAATCAGAAATAATAATAATAAGAGAGAGAGAGAGAGAGAGAGAGAGAGGAGAGAGAGAGAGAGAATATTTCAAATAGATTCAAGCGAAGAAATGGAGGAGAAAGGTGAAAAAATGGCGAGGAAAGATAAAAAAAATGAGGAAGGAAGGTGAAATATAAAGAAAAACGAGGAGAAAATAAAAAGAAATATAAATTTTAAAAAAGAAGGGCTAATTAGTTGTTAGACACGCCATTTGAATGGCTTTTTTAGCCTTCACGTGCTCTTGGATGATTCATTACACACATAATACCACATAAGCGACGAGGGGGTTTATTATGAAGGGAGATACAGTTTAGGAGCTTTTCGGAAACATGCGATAGTTTTGGTAGGCACCTGACAAAAGTTGTATAGTTTAGGCGGGTTTTAGGGTATTAAATCAAAACAAAACTCTGAAAATTGAGATATGCACAAATGAAAAATATCATGAGTTGTTTAAAAAATAACTTAGTTTTTATGCGGTAGACATATATTGAAGAATCTAAAAAAAGGAATCGATCGTTCCAGTACTACAAATTGAATGGCAAAATAGCAAGACGAGAGACATATAGTTATGGGTTTTTCAATCTACATATCTATTCAGTAAATAAGTAGTAAATTTTTTTATTCTATATGTATAATCTTGGATCATTAACATTAATTTTTTCTTTAGATTTCGGATACTTGATAGGCTCACTCACTTCTTTTCGTGTATTCTTATAAGTTAATATAGTACCAGGATTAAATAAAGTACACTACTGTTATCAAAGTTTGTTATACTATTATAAGTCAAATCCTTAAAAAATTGAAAAAATGCATAAGTACCCCCTTAACTTTGATTGAAGTTCCAACTACACACCTTTTCTTTTCGGGAGCCCTATTATCCCCCTGAACTATTCTAAAGTGGAATAAATATCTCTTTAAGATGTCATAACCAGATTTTTCTTGGGAGGTGAAACACACCCGCGTACCGTGTGTCTATATATATATATATATATATATATATATATATATAGACACACACGCACGCTTC